CAGTGTCACATATGAACAACACCACTGTACTTCTTGCAACAGCAGTGGTTAAAATTGCAGATGCTTTCGGAAATTATCAAGATTGCAGAATTATATTTGATTCATGTTCACAAAGCAATTTAATCAGTACGAGTTTATGTCAAAAATTGGGACTTAAATTACAATCAATCGAATTCCCGATTAGTGGAGTAGGCGAAATCGAAACACCAGTTAAAAATTCGACTAGGGTAACCATAAAATCTCGTTTTAATCCAACTCTTTACAATCTCAATTGTTTAGTATTGCCTAACATCACATCAAAATATCCATGCCAATTCTTTTCAAAATCTCAGTTCAATATACCCATAAATATTAATTTAGCAGATTCTAATTTTAATGAACCCTGTACCGTTGATCTTTTGTTAGGTGCAGAGTACTTTTGGCAAGTAATTTGTAACGGTCAAATTAACATATTTAATAATCAAGTATTCCTTCGTGAGTCCGTTTTCGGATGGGTCTTAACAGGTAAAATTTCCGGTCCTTCGCAGAACAATACAGTCGATACTGTGAGAGATAACCGACGTGATGTGTGTGTTTCTGTGGGTTTAGCTCTGATTTTTGACTGATTTAAGTCCAGTTAAATTTTTGAATTAATAACAACTTATTGTGGTGCCACTTACGGTTAGTTTATCAACAGTACAGTGAGGTTTACAACAGTGTATGGGAACATATTTTATGATTTTCTTTAACACCTCTATTAATTGAAATCCCGTAAGTCTTATCAATTACTGTTTTTGCCTGCTGTTATCTTGTTTCTTACTGAGGCGAGTGACTGTGGATTTAAAATTCCTCGTCGGAAGACGAGGATATTCCCAAAAGGGAAAGGCGTCATAAGAGCGCCTTTTCAAGATGGGGGAGAATCCTTGTTCTCCTCTTTTTCCAGCTAAAGACCAAGCTATTGTTTTAAGTGCTATTAAAGATGTAAAACTTACGGAATATGTTGTAGCTATAGGTGATATAGTTACATCAAAAAATGTTATTTTCGCGTCGCGAATGTCAAACGATCGTATATGCATTTATCTGAGTCATAAATCCTATGTAGATCAAATTGTTTCAGAATATTCTACTATTAAAGTCAACGGTACTGAAGTAAATGTACGTCGTTTGCTTAATCCTGCAAAGCGTATTATTTTTTCTAATGTCTGTCCGTCTATTCCCCATAGCATTATAGAAGAGGTTGTCAAGCAATTAGGTTTTGTTTCGGTTTCCCCCATGTCATTTCTTAGAGCAAGTATACAAAACGATGAATACAAACATGTTTTAAGTTTTTGTCGACAGATTTATGTCCAACCTAACGAGTTAATAGATCTTCCGTCTTCACTTGTTATAAAGTACGACGAAACGAACTACCGAATTTTCATGAGCTATGACAACATTTGTTTCAAATGCAGATTGACTGGACATCTGGCAAACGACTGTCCGGGTGCCATTACAGCGTCTTCCCCCAATGATACCGGCATTACCAACATTATTATAGAGAGTCCTAGTAACGGTAGTCAGACAGCAACTTCACCAGAAGTGGGAACTAAGCGCCCTACACAGGACGACAGTTTAACTGAACAAAATCCCTTGGACTTATCACTTGGATCACATGCGGAAAATACTCAGCAAGAGCAACCAACGAAAAGGATTAAGCCTTCAGATTCCACCGAAAGTTTAACCCCTGTTTCTGACTTACTGCATCCAGCGAAACAGCTGCTTGAGAATGCCCAGTACCCACTCAATTTTGAGCAGACGGTTGAGTTTCTAGAAAAAGCAACTGGAGAAGTTGATCTGTTGAAACTGGCTCATAAATACACAACTGACGTGCAAGGTATAATAGATATGCTGTTTGATATATTTCCTATTGTTCAGCACAAAAGCATAAAGAATCGTTGTAAGAAAATTCAGAAAAGGTTAAAGAAAATTTGCGGTAAACTACGAAATATTGACATTTCTGACGTTCCCTTGACAGATATTGATCTTTCGCAACAAAATGCTTCAATTCAATAATAAAAATAACTGTAATTACTTTGTTAGTTCTCTTGTGTACTCGAATATTGCTTCTCTTCTCGCCAAATATGACGAATTAATTGCGTTTATCTCTTGCAACAATCCTTCATTTGTTTTGTTGGCAGAAACGTGGTTATCTCCTAGTATACCTGACAGCTTCGTCTCTGTGCCGAATTTCACTCTTTTCAGAAGTGATCGAATTAATAGATTAGGAGGGGGTGTATGTATATATGTTTCTGACCAGATTTTATCAGAATTTTCGGTAACTCCTATAAATGTTAATACTTTCGGCATTGATTCACTTTTTTTGAAAGTATCTGATAAAAATGTTACTTTTGTCCTGGGATGTGTTTATCGCCCTCCGAGACCAGTGCTGCTTGCTGATGATAATAACTTATTCAGTTCTCTGTCGCAACTTGCCTTTACTCACAATAAATTTTTTGTATTCGGAGACTTTAATATGCCAGACATAGCTTGGCCTTTAAATATGAGTCAACATTTCAGTCCATCTTCGCAGCTATTAATAGATCTGCTAGTTAATAGCAACTTGAACCAACTTGTTAATGAACCCACCCGTTATAGGCTGAACCAAAGACCGTCTACATTAGATCTGATTTTAACGTCTGATGATACTTCACTAGCAAATTTGAATTATTTAAACCCATTCGGCAAATCTGATCATGTAACTTTAAAGCTAGATCTCCAACTTTGTTTTGTAGCGAGATCTAAAACTGTTACCTTACAAAAGCGGATTGTTGACTTTAAAAAAGCTGATGAATATTTGTCTACTGTAGACTGGGCAACCCTTTTAAACCATCCATCGGTTGATACAAATTGGGAAAGTTTTAAAAATCATTTAAAACTAGCAACTGATAAGTATTCTTACACCATCACTTACAAAGCATCTTCTTCTAAACCATGGATTGACAACAAAATATTAAAATTAATAAAAAAGAAACGTTCACTTTGGCGAACCTTTAAACGAACAGGCAAGGAAGATGATTATAAGGTTCATCGTGCGTTTTCTAACCGCGTTTCGTCAATCATCAAAGATGTAAAACATAAATATGAAAAAAGTATTGCCGATCAGAAAAATCCCAAAAAGTTCTACAGCTACATTCGCAATAAATTATCAGGGCCTGTCAGAAAGCCGCAGGTGAAAGATGCAACCGGGCACATTATAGAGGACGATTGCGTTACAGCCAACATTTTTGCTGAAACTTTTGCTCAGTCGTTCACAATTGAACCAGACGCGGATATACCGAATTTGTTGACTACTCATAACTTCGATTGTCTTAGTGGTATATGCTTCTCCTACGATTTAATAAAAGATAAATTGCACAAATTAGATACTACCAAATCTCCTGGTCCTGATGGTATTAGTGCAAAAATTTTAAAAGAGTGTGGCAGTTCCCTTGCTCGCCCGCTTTGCATGTTGATGAAGCAATCATTTCGGTCAGGACGATTGCCAAACGATTGGAAAACTGCCACCATCACACCTGTGTTCAAAAAAGGGGACAAGTTTAATGCGGCGAACTATAGGCCTATAAGTTTAACTTCAGCAGTAGTGAAACTAATGGAATGTATCATCTACGATCAGTTGGTGGCGTTTTTAACAGCACACCAGGTTATACCTCGTGAGCAACATGGTTTCACACCTGGAAAGTCCATAGCGACCAATTTGCTCTGTTGTTTAGACAACTGGACTAGAGAACTCGATTCTGGTGGCTCAGTAGATATCGCGTACTTTGATTTTTCGAAGGCTTTCGATCGTGTGCCGAAACGCCGACTCCTTTTGAAATTACGACATTATGGAATCCAAGATAGTCTTCTCAGGTGGATTGAATCTTTTCTTTCTGACCGAATATTTAAGGTTAAGGTTGGTGATATGTTTAGTTCTCCTTTTCCAGTTCTGAGCGGTGTGCCACAGGGCTCTGTATTAGGACCCTTGTTGTTTTTAGCGTATGTATCCGACATAAAAGATTGCTTAATTTCTCCTTGGGCAATGTATGCTGACGATTTGAAAATCTACAATATTTGTTCCAATTATGAAGTCTTAACGAAGGATATAGCAACTATTTATAACTGGTCACTAAAATGGTTACTTCCAATTAATGCGGACAAATGTAATATCCTTTATTTAGGCAGCGACAATCCAAAGCAAACTTATTATATCAACGGCACCGAGCTTACCAAGTGTGTTTCTTTGTCGGATATGGGTGTTATCGTAACGTCTACTTTGACATGGTCTGAACATATCACAAAAGTCGTGAAAAAAGCCAACAAGATACTATATCTTCTCGGAAAGACATTTGCTAAAGCTGATGTAAATACTGTAACTAAACTGTATAAAACTTATGTTAGACCGATATTAGAATATGCCAACTGCGTTTGGGTTCCAACATTACAACGTGATATCAATTTACTAGAATCTGTCCAGCGTCGTGCCACAAGAATACCGTACGGACAAGTGCGCCCCTCTTACCCTGACAGACTTAATCTTATGAAATTGCCATCGTTAGCCGACAGGCGTGTAAGAGGTGACATGTTGACAACATTTCAGGCTTTTACAAATATTAGTTCACCTATCAGACATCTTTTTCCTGTCAACATTGATGGACGAACCAGAGGTCACCGGTTCAAATTGGAGAAGGACAATTTTCGGACTTCCATTCGTCAGACGTTCGTCACTAACAGGGTATTCACCGAATGGAATGCATTACCCCCTGAAGTTGTTGAAAGTGCTTCCGTTCCTAGATTTAAGGTCAACTACGACACCTTTCGAAACCGTAGATAGTTGTATATAGTTATATCCATAATTTATTATATTTAAAATAATTTGTGATTGCATCAATTGTCGTCTTGCGCGGGCATAACAGACTTCGGTCTCTGCCCGAACGCTTCATTTTAATAATAATAATAATAATAATAATATTGTCGCCTGTATTTCAAACGCAAATCCCCAAGATATGCTAAACAAAGAAATTCATAAATTTTGGGAATTAGAAGAAACAGCTGTAAACACCAGTAATTCCTTTTCCGTGGAAGAACTTACCTGCGAACGGCATTTCTCAGAAACGGTCAAAAGAGATATTAACGGTCGGTTTATGGTACGCCTACCCTTTAAGAAGGATATTACCATGCTGGGGTTTTCCGATGTAACCGCCCTAAACCGTTTTATGGCACTAGAAACTCGTTTGAACAAAAATAATTCTCTTAAAGCCGATTATACAAACTTTCTAGACGAATATTTAGCTCTAGGTCACATGAAATTAGTTGCAGGTGAATCTGATTTTCACACTAAACAATTATATTTTTTTCCACATCACGCGGTGATAAAGAGTTCGAGTACTACCACCCGAGTGCGTGTGGTGTTTGACGGAAGCTGCAAAACAAGTACCGGTGTCAGCTTAAACAATATTCTAATGGTAGGTCCAACTATTCAACAAGACTTGTTTTCAATCATTACGCGCTTTCGGACCTACCAATTCGCATTCAGTAGCGACGTAGTAAAAATGTATCGTCAAATATGGGTCGATCCTTCAGATACACCTTACCAAAGGATTTTTTGGCGCAAGAGTAGTGACAAACCAGTTGAGGTATATGAGTTACAGACCGTAACGTATGGTACCGCGTGTGCCCCATACTTAGCTATCAAATGTTTACAAAAATTAGCCATCGATGAACAACTCGATTTTCCTCTAGCCTCGACAATTATCTTACGCGATTTCTATGTTGATGACTTGCTTACGGGTACTAATTCAGTCAAAGAAGCCATAGAATTACGCAATCAATTAATTGGCGCCTTAAATAGGGGTGGTTTTCAATTACAAAAGTGGGCATCTAATTGTCCGGACATTTTGCCCAATTGTAGTCAAAATAACGATGTAGTTAAATTAGACCATAACGACGAGGTCAAAACACTAGGTTCAACGTGGAATTGCAAAACGGACTGTTTAAAATATGTCGTGGAAACAAAGCCCGTGGAAAATACTACTAAACGATCCATCTTATCAAAAATCGCGAGAATTTATGATATTCTAGGTCTCTTGTCACCCGTCCTTGTTTTGGGAAAAATCTTAATTCAAAAGTTGTGGCTCATTAAACTCGACTGGGATGATCCTTTACCGGAAGATATACGACAAACGTGGCTTAAACTTGAACAAGAATTACCCATATTAAACACACTACAAATACCTAGAAAGGTTGTATCAAATCAATACAATAACGTCGAAATTCATGGATTTTGCGATGCGTCCATGTCGGCTTATGGTGCCTGTGTTTATATCCGAACGTTGGACTTAAACACAAATTCGTACAAAACAGAATTATTATGCCCACGATCACGTGTTTCTCCATTAAAAACTATCACACTGCCTCGACTAGAACTTTGCGCAGCCGTGCTATTAGCCCGCTTAATACACAAATTATTACCTACAATAAATCTAAACATAACAACGCAGTATATGTGGACAGATTCATCAATAGTGTTATCTTGGTTAGCATCATCGCCAAGTACCTGGAACGTTTTCGTTGCAAATCGCGTTGCTGAAATAAGCACATTAACGAGTATTTCTAATTGGCATCACGTTAAATCTGCTGATAACCCTGCAGACATTGTCTCAAGAGGTAAATTACCTAGTAAACTTATTACGTCTGATTTGTGGTGGCACGGTCCACATTGGTTATCAAAAAATAAGTCAGAATGGCCAGCTTCATTCGTTAGTTCAAATGCACAAAATGTACCAATTTTAGAAAAACGCGCCAAGTTGAAAATTTTGGTGGTGACCAATAACAACGTACTTCCATTGTTAACAAAATATTCATCCTTCGATAAACTCCAGTCAGTACTAGCATATTGTCTTAGATTTATTCACAACTATGTAGTTGATCGTAACAATAAATTATCAGGTCCATTTTCAACTAAAGAATTAAATGACGCAACCAACAAAATCATTAAGTTAGTCCAAGCATCAGAATTTCTAAGTGAAATACATGACTTACAGCGTGGCAGAGAAATTAACAAGTTAAGCAAACTACTTAAATTAGATCCATTTTTAGACAAAAGGGGTATTTTAAGAGTGGGAGGTCGCCTAATCAACGCGGATATCAATTATGAGCAAAAATTTCCAATCGTTCTACCATCGAAACATCACGTGACCAAGTTGATTATTCTTAAAACACATAAGGAGCAATTACACGCAGGTCCAGCAGCGACTCTTGCTGCTGTTCGCGAAAAATATTGGCCGATTGCAGGCAGATCAGTAGTTAGAAATTTGCTACACAAATGCTATGTTTGTTTTCGAGCAAATCCGCAATCTAATGATCAATTAATGGGCAATTTGCCTGCTCTGAGAGTGCAGCCATCAAGTCCTTTTCTTAATTGCGGCATAGACTATGCAGGACCCATTGTTATGAAGGAAGGTGGCCGTCGTAGTAAAAAAACCACCAAAGTTTACATTGCGTTATTCAAATGTTTTGCAACGAAGGCTGGCCATATAGAATTAGTTACTGACTGCACTTCAGAAGCATTTTTGAGTACACTAAAACGATTCATGGCGCGAAGAGGCAAAATTTCAACCATTCATTCTGACAATGCGACTTATTTTACAGCAGCAAATAAAGAACTAAACAAATTATTCCATTCTTCACAATTTGAAAGCGAAGTAGTTCAATCTCTAGCAAAAAATAATATTAAATGGTACTTCATACCAGCACGCTCTCCTCATCGCGGCGGTTTTTGGGAGGCAGGTATCAAGTCGATAAAATATCATCTAAAACGTGTTGCGAGTAATGCTTTATTGACGTATGAGGAGCTCTATGCGCTTTTGACGCAGATTGAAGCATGCATCAACTCCCAACCCCTGACTCCATTATCCTCTGACCCGAGCGATCTCACGGCCTTAACTCCTGGGCATTTCCTCATCGGCGGAAAATTAACAACCTCAGTCGAAGACGATGTTACAATGGTGAAAGAGAATCGTCTGTCACGGTGGCAACGCGTCCAACAATAGGCGCAAAGCTTTTGGAAGCGCTGGTCAGGGGAGTTCCTAAACACGCTGCAACAAAGAAAGAAGTGGAATCGCACTGCTAAAACAGAGGTGAAGCCAGGACTTCCCGTTCTACTACGCGAAGACAATCTCCATCCGATGTGCTGGCGAATGGGAGTCGTCATGGAGACACATCCAGGAAAAGATGGGATCGTCCGGACAGCCACCATCAGGACATCATCGGGACCTGTCGTGCGGGCCACAAACCGAATCTGCCTGTTCCCCATCGACGACGACACCCAGGTTTGAGACCACAGGTTCAAGGGGGGCCGGAATGCGCAGTACAGCCCTGCACAAGAGCGGTACAACCCCACCACCCACCCTTCGACGGCACAAGAGCGGTACAACCCCACCACCCACCCTTCGACGGCACCGGGGTGGTACGGACCCAGACAGAACGCACCTCGCAGTACACGCGATCGGTCGACAAACTGTACATACATTTACACACTATTAATATATAGTTATAAAACAACACTCTTTTCTTGCCGTGTTCGTACCGTGTACGACACGGTTATACGGTCCTTCGAACAGCCTGCGGCGCGACGCCACAATCTCTCTACTAGTCATAACATCAACTTTAAGTAATTCGGTGGAGGAAATCACTATCACCCCTATCCATTCACAAATTTTTCCATTCCATCTAGGTGTGGGTAAAGTTATAGAGACAAAGCACACATTTATCCACTACGTCAAAATTAACCCACTAATATCACTGCTTGATAACACCATTTCCTACTTTAACACCATTAACACCACACTACATTTACAACCATCCCCTATAGAAACGTCTTAAGAAACTTACTATTGCATGCCCACTTTCTTATCCTAGAATCAGAAAGAAAACTAAACAACCTTAAACCCCACATCATCAAAAAAAGAGGCTTGATAAATTTAATCGGCAAAAGTTCAAAATGGTTGTTCGGTACCCTAGATTCAGACGACGGCGAGCGCTATGATCACGCTCTTAAGACATTATCCGTAACCCAAGAATCAATGTCAAAGCAAATGCAACTGCAAACTTCACTAACAAAAAGATTAATAGACAGCTACAACCATACAATCACAACTTTGAGTAAAAACCAACAACTAATCAAAATCAGGCTAAATTATTTTGAGGATAATGTATATAAAACTTTTGACGATATATCTGCTTACATTAGAGCTCAAAATATTTTGGACCAAATTATCCTAAATTGTCAAAACCTCATCACACTTCTGGATAACCTAGAGGATGCTATAATGTTTGCTAAATTAAATACGTTACATAACTCGATTATCTCAGTTAGCGATATCAAAATCATGCATGACCAATTAATAAAAATCTACGGCGATCAAAAAATTATAAAGTTCAAAGACATCACGTCTTACTATCAACTGATAAACTTGAGAGTTGTTTTTAAGAACGACAAAATAATCTTTGCTCTACACATCCCAATTTTCTACTCAAAACATTTCGATTTCTATCACCTATTCCCTGTACCACAGAACAACCTAACCATAATACCCAATAAACCCTTCCTTATACTCGGCACATCGGAACACCAGTACCAAGACGAAGAATGCGAATCAATAGAAGACTTACACATCTGCGAAAATCAGTTAATACCAAATGGAGACGATTGTATAATTTCACTCATCCAGCACATGAAACCGAACCAATGCCAATCAACACCTATACACGTCAATGAACCTATATTTGAACAAATTGGAGACGAACACCTCTTAATAATACCAGTAATCAATTCGATCAAGTTACGAAAAATCTGCAAAACTCAAGGATACACATTTATCAAAGAACCGAGTTTGATAAAGGCCTCTCACCACTGTAGCGTAAGCACGGATACGTTCCAATTCATCAACGAAGAAAACACGATCAAAGGCGAGCCATTTATAATACCGAATATCAACGACAAAGAAATCCAGAAAACCTCTAACCATGGACACCTGCAGTTACACAACGTTAACCTAGACGACATTTCTCGATTCAACAGTCAAATCCAATACATCTACATTCCAAAAGACGAGAACCACCACCACAGAGAAATCGGATATCTGACCATCCTTGCTCTACTATCCGTCAGTCTCATAATTTTTCTGATTTTTAGATTTCGAAACCAACTCCAAAAAACCCTAACACGAAGAACGATGCAACCCCAAGAAACTGGCGAAAACAACATCCCCAAGTTATTTTCGGCTTAAGGAGGGAGGAGTTACATTAGGGAAATTCCACACGACTTAATGATAAGACTTTCGATGACCAATGTCAAACAACCTATTATCACTTTACTATCACCTAATTAACACTAGTATATAAGCACCAATTGTATTGTAATGAACCAGAGTATTCTTGGTCGTCATATTGTTGTATTATTATATTAATAATTAACAAAAGTGTAAAAGTTCGAAAATAATAAACAATTTATTTTTTAAGTTGTTTATTCGTGAATAAACTTAATTCCCATAGGGACCGATGTCTTCACGCTACTTCTCATCACCACTCCTCCCAAAAACGGTCTGTCATTGACTCCCTAATTCATCGAGCCACTACCATTTGTCAACCGGACAAACTCCAAAAAGAATTAGAACATCTCCAAACGTCTCTTCAACAAAATTGATACGACCACCACACTATCAAATCTGTCATTCAACGTCGGCTTAATTCCAACTCTGACAATACTTCAAATCGCCCAACTGATTTCGTATCGACTGCATATCTCCTATTTATTCCTCAGGTCACTGACCGTCTGTCCAATATACTCCAAAGGCAAAAAGTTAGAGCAGTCTTAAAAGGTGCTACTAAAGTTGCACAAATTCTTCCTTCCCTCAAAGATTCTCGCCAAGCTCTAAACTGTAGAGAAGCCTACAGTATTCTCTGCTCCTGTGGTGTAAAATATATAATATTATTAATAATAATATTAATAATAATGGATACTTGTACATAACTCCGGATAAGTCTACACAAATACGTATAACAAAAAAAAATCAATACAAAACAATTATATAACTAAACACTAATCACTAAAAATGATATAACTCGACATGCAGGAACTTAAACTACAGTGGCGTAAGTACTGCATTTTTACACAGATAAGTGAAATGTTTGATATTCTGTAAAAAGAAATCTACAAGTGGACCATATTATTGTAACTTCTGCACATATTATATATCGGCGAATAGAAATGTTGATTAGTTCTACACCAATTTATTGCAAATGTTCCAGTAGTACATCTACAATTTAAGGGCGGTATGTGAAACTTAAAATTACTAAGCAGATTTTCTGAAAACATTTTCCCGCGGATCAGCTTATGTAAAAATACAATATTTGCCACCGTTTTTCTATCCTTCAACGAGTTTAGATTAAATTCCTTGAAAAGAACTACGCTCGAACAAGTTCTTACGGGATATTTGCCAAATTTAACATAAAACAAATGTTTACAAAATTTTCTTTGATTACGCTCTATTGAAGATATATGAATTTTGTAGTATGGATCCCATTCGACCGATGAATATTCCAGTTTAGAACGGGTAAATGAATAATATAATACAAGCAAAGAATCAACATTGGTAAAACCCACAGTATTTCTTATAATAAACCCTAACATTCTATTAGCATGATCACAAATATGTTGAAAATGAGGTATAAATGACAATTATGAATCAACCACAACACCAAGGTCTTTAATTTGGAATACTTTATCTATTTCTGTATCGTTTAATTCATACTTATATTGTGTAGTATCAGGTGATTTAGAAAAGGTTATTACTTTACATTTGGCTACATTAATATTTTGTTTATTTTATTGTGACACCATATAATAAAATTATTTAGATCATCTTGAAGCGAGTAACAATCATCAAGCGTGGTAATGGTTTTAGTCACCTTCAGGTCATCAATGGACACAAAGATAGAACACTTAAATTCTAGAAGTGCGTCATAGAAGTATATAATAAATAAAATGGGTCCAAGGTTTGACCCTTGCGTTACACCACTCGTAGTTACATAAACTTTAGAGCGAAAACCACGGTACAATTTCCTGTTTAATAACTCAGTTTCCTTTTTTAAGGATAATGTCGCCCAAAGTCCATTAGAAATTTCTTTCTGTGTTGCATCATTTTATATGAAATAAGTACCTTATTTTCAAATCTTGATAATTTATTGGAACACACATCTTAATTGTATGTTGTAAAAGTTAAACTATGAATTATACGATTTATTTGGATTACTGACAAAGGAATGAATTTTCACTAAATATTTTATTAGCTATTAATAATTTATGTAGCAAGTATATTTTTGTTTGACCTAATTGTGATGGTGTATTTTAAACTCGCTTAGCACGAAATTTTACTTAGTTTACTTAAAATGTGATCCGTTTTTTATGCTTGTGAGTTTCAATGGATAACGCTGATGTTATCTATTTATTTAATATGTTTGAGATGTTTTTAAAGTACGAGAATAAGGAGAATGGTAACCAGGAAAAAAAATGATAGAAAACAAATCTGTTTTCAGGCCTACTGACTACTAGTGCTTCTACAAATAATAACAAATCTGCTCTTTCTAATGACTATAATATTTAATTTCGTGCTCTTACTTTTGTAATTATTGTTGTTACTTGTTACTTAATTCTTTTGCTTACGATGTTGCATATTTCCATTCAAGATCTTGTTAGGAGGAATATATTGTTTTAAAGTTATACAAAGTAATTCTTTATTATTTATTTACGTTCACTTGTTAAGTAAAATTACATTTGTACATATCAAGTATTACAGACAAATATTTCAGGTGTTGATGAAATTTTTTGTGAGTATATCCTAAACAGCCATATTTTAGAATCTTTTTCATTTCTTGCGTAAATTCTTTTATGAAATAAGCTTATTTACAACTTGGAATTTTAGAAAATATTTTATACTTACAATTTGAAAGTATTCCTAAATAAATTTTACGTATTTTAATTATAACTGAATTTGGCTTAATATTTTCTTTATTTTTCTTAATGTGCATTATAAACTGTGTTCATATTTTTTGTTTCTTGTTTTAATTTTTGATAAAAATATATTTATCTACTTACGTCACAACCTCTGAAATTAGAAACGTGTTAAATTATGTTATTTAATGAAAAATAATGTGTTAAAATTTTATTGCTGCTTTAATGAGAATATTATAAACGTCATTATTATGAAAATTTTAAAACCATGTTACCGAAAATAAAAACAAAAAAACCCCTACGTTTCTTTGACTGTTATTAAAA